GACCTCGTACTGTGCAACAGCCTGTACTGCTTATAAGAGAATGATGCTACAGGTACAGAGGTGCAGAGGCCTTGCAACAAGAACTTGAAACCCTTCCTGAGCTCTAATGGCCCTTTATCTCACCTCATTACAGTACTGTGAGGGCTACCAGCTTTTACATAGACTTGGAAATGCTGCAGTTGCCTGTGATCCCAAACAGTAAAACATACCAGGACGCTGGCTTGGGCCTGACTACCTCAGCACAGCTTCAACAAAAGAGAAAGAATACACTTGCCTTTTCAATAAAGCACTTTCTGAGTGTATTCAGTTCCACATGCCATAAATATCATCCCTCCACTTAAGAAAAAGATTGTATTTTTATTAAGAAAGCACATACTGAAGTAATATGGAGCCAAGTTAGGAGATACTTACCTTAATAATGGAATAATCAACACAGAAACTCAAGCCTGAGCATGCGGTAGGAAATGCATTCCCTAATAAATCACTTAGTGAAAAAGGGAGAAGAATATAACCTTTTTCTTGTGCTAAACCACAATAAAAAAATGCTCTTCACATAAGCAGACATGAAAGAGTGAACTACAGAGCACATCACAGACTCATGTTTACACTGCTTTTATCAGATGTTTTATCTATCATTAATAATGAAGAAAGAGCAGCTATATATCAGATGTGCAATTTTGGTTGCAGGGTTTTTTAATGCTCTCTGTAAAAGCATTTTGTGTGTATTGAGATAGGTGCGACTTCCATATGGCTCAAAGCAGCATGACATATTTTATTTAAACTGCCAAAATATTAGATTGATGATGCCTTGGAATTGTTTACTGTAAAACACAGTAGCAACTAGGTGTCTTCATGAGCTTTCCACAAGAAAATATGGAGTCAGATTTCTTTCCTATCCTGATTTTTTTGGGAAAAAAAGTGTTTTCAGCTCATCTAAAGTAGTGGAGAATCAGTCTTTGTAAGGATGGCTGCAGAATGCACATTTTGTGGCTGACAGTCTAGTTTTGTTGATCTGGTTCAGTTACTACACAGGGTTTCAAAGCAGTGTAAAGCTAGGCCATGCGGGCAGCATCGCTGAGCATGTCACAAGTGTCAGTGGTGTCGTGAAGCTCTTCTTGTGAGAAGTGCAGCAAATAATTGCACTTCTCCAACGCTGCATCCAGCTAGCAATCAACCTATTACCCTAAGCAAGGGGATGGATTTTAATATCTTAGCATCATAGTATATAGAGCTATAAAATGCAGAAATGAGGTACAGAAAAGAAGAAGTACTTTGGGTCTCTTGGGCACCGGAACGTTCTCTTTAAGCAACCCGTTCTTGCTAACCTTGTAACACACGATGTCTGGAATGGCAGAAGAGGACTTTGCTACATCTAGGCACACACCTTTGATTTCAAGTATTTTAAGGATTTGGTTTGTTTGTTTTGCCTTATTTTTAACAAAATAATAGCTGACATTATGGTCTTAGTAAAGGCAAAATTTCCATTGGTCAAGCATGGCCATAAGCATTTTAAAGCCCAGACTAGTAACAGATTTTCCAGGTGTCAGCCTCACTAATGTTCACAGCACCACTAAGGGAAGCCAATTACTAACACACTATTCTCAGCACAAACTCATTTTATTTAAGACTACTTTATCTTTTAACTGAAGTGAGATCTTGAGCCTTAGCCAAACAGAGTAGTACTTTTCTACTTCTGTAGACAGTTGCACTTCTGTAATAATATAATATTTGTACTTATGAGTACCCAATAATACACAGCAGCTTGATTTCCCTCCCCCAAATAATGGACAATAACAGTCTCTGCAATTTACACTACTCTTATTTCCCTAATATTTGCAATATAATCTGGTTAAACTTCCAGGCCTTGCAGAGGTGATATATCAAGACAGAAGAGTTTTCCAAAATCCACGTATTTCACATACATCTCGATTATGCCAGCAGTGACTTGTGAAATGCTTGCTGCCTTTTCAGTTTAATAAAATCAAATCCAGCTTGAAGTCACTGACTAGACCAAAAGACATGGAAGTATTTCTTAATCAGCATTTGCGCATTGCAATTATGGGCATTTTCCCTTTATTTAAGTACCTATGTAACTTAGCTAATTTTCTGAAGGAAGGTCTAACTGCATATGTGGCAGAATAGAGCGAGCTAATGAAAAAACAAACCAACGAGTAATAACCAACTAGTAATTTTGGCAATTTTTGTAGCTTCTTCATTTTTATCTTGTATGTGGCTCCTGCAGAATGGTTTCAATCAACAGCTAGTGTGTTGCAAAGAAAGCAACCACATCGATAGATTAAAACATACCCTGGACTGTAAAATATCTGCTAAGTGTTTTGTTTTCTTTAAAAGAGGAAAAAAATGAGCTTTTAAAAAATCTTTTATGACACACTCAATCTAAATTCACTTATTTGAAAGCAGAATCAGCAATATGTATAAAGTGACAGCTTTTTTTCACCTCATGGCAAATCTCATAAACCGGAAATCCTAGTGTATTTCAATTAGGATGATGGCACATTTTGTGATAATGTTTTTCAGCAAAACAGTGGCTTTGACATGATATGGATTTTTCCAAAAGGTGTTTGGGAAACAGGGGGAGGGCAGCACAAAACCTATTCTGAGTAGGTCAGATAAAAATATTTACATATTGTTATTATTTCTAGTCAAAAGAAAGATACAAAAATGTAAGGGAAAAAGAATCTCATCTTTTCCCTTCACCAAAAAAGTGAGACACACACCTACAAAATTGTGTGCCAAGAACAGCATCCTGAGTCAGTCAGATTCTGAACAAAATGAACAGTTTCTTCATTTTGAATCATGTCAGCGAAGAGACTGGAAAATTTTCCCCCAACAACCCAAATAAAACAAAAAATGTTCACTGAGTAAAAATCCTATTTTTCTTTTGGCCCAAGAGGAACACAAGATGGTCTGATCCCAAGAACACTGTGTGCTTGGAATGCATTAAGTGAGGCAAATGGAAATATCACATGGGCAGTGCTCAAGGTCAAGTCCAGACTGAAAGAATGTAACCTTATTTTCAAAATAAGTGCCTTGGGTGAAAGAAGAGTAGACATGGGAGTGGAATTGACTTGATACGTACTGAAATCACTCCTACCAGTGCCTACTTTGAGAAAAAAAAGAGCTGAAAAAGTGCTGTTCAGCTTGCTTTTCTATGTTACAGAGTCAACAGCATGTTGCTATAAAGAATGCCAGATATGACAGTATTACAGAACATTACAATAGCTACGGGGCAAAGCAATGGCAACACAAAGCTGAAAAAAGGAACGGCTACAATGCAAGGAAATATGTATAGAAGTATGGTCCAAATAAAAAGGGGGAAAAAATCAGGAAAATACACTCCAAGCAACAAAGCCATCTTGCACTTCATCCTAACGGATTGTAGTGAGTTAAAAAAAAAACCCTAATATTTCCTCTCTAGCCTGAAACATTCATTGAGTTCTATCTCCTTTTAAAGGAAACACCTGTGAAAATGTAATGCAATGAAATGAAAACCATGGTTGCTGTAAGACATTTGAATACTCCTTGACAAGCTAATGAATATGCATAAATCAAAAAGAATAGCAATTCTCAGTCATTTGTGAACAACAGATATTTACAATGGCATTACACCCAGAACAATAGTCTATTATTCACACAGAGCTGAATGGAGCAGCAGTAATCCCCATATTGTATTTGTAGAAAGAGAAAAATGTAAATGTTACCATACCTCTGTCTTCAAGTGGATTGCTAGCAAGGTTAATCGTATGGAGTCCTGAGCTGGGATTATGGGCTAGGGCACTGGCTAGTTTCTGTGCAAAATCTCTGCAAGAAAAGAACAGAGAGAGTGAAAGAGTTCTGTTATCTCCTGAATCAACAGCACATTCAGAGGCTTAAAAGTGCCAGGGGATTACTAGACAGAAGTGGCCAATTTATCCCACTGCAAAACAGAAATGATTCTTCAGTTCTAAATAACGCTTTTGCCTGCTGATCCGCTGCCTCTCGACAGCAGGTAATATTATTATTCATCCATTCTGTCATCTAGGAGACTGAAGAGCGCTCAATCAAAGTGTAAAGCACTTTTCACAAGGATCTGAAGACACAACACAGCAGGGGTTATGCGGAATAACTCCGAACGTGAGCAGGTCTCTGAGCACCCCCTGGCATGCCGGCAGGGCCGGGATCCGCGCGGTGCAGCTCGGCCCCGCTGCGCCTCCACTCGGGAGCCAGCCCCTCACCGCAGCCGCCCCGAGCACCGGCCGCTCACACGGAGGGGCCTCGCAGCAGCCTCACAAGGTGGACAGCGGGCAGGAGCGCTGCTGACCCCGTGGAACAGCACGAACAGCGCTGCCACGGAAGAGCAGCACGCAGACGAGCTGCTCTTTTGTTGCTGGCTTCTTTTTACAGTGAGGAGCGTTACAGACCTGGAACTGGCCGATCACAAGTCTGGTAACACGCCCCAAGAGAAAGACTGTGCTATGTCGGTTGTCCAGCTCCCACAGCAGCCCGGCTAGGCAGCACCGGCAGCTTCACCATGGCTTCTAGTAACTGTTGCAGGTAGCTGTGGTGGCCACGGCACCTGACCCCCCTGCAGAGGCAAGGGGACCTGCCCGAAGCAGTGGCTGCGCCGTCAGAATCACCATACCCAGCTCAGAACTAGGTTCGGGTATCTACTGATATTCAGAGCTCATGCAGCAGGGTGAAATGAGATGCAACTGCACTGTCTGAGGTCCTTGAGGGACAGGTCACTGCTGGGAACTTTGGTGGCTTCTCCTCTGTCGTGCCTGTTCCCTGCTGGCTGCCACGGCTGGGACATTCTGCCAGATGCAGAGAACACGCCAGGCCAAGGAGCAGCTTTTGCCAGCTTCTGCAAAGAGCCTTTGCAGAGTGAAGTATTCATCGGGGAGTATTCCTGAAGACGAGTATTCTGGTGGTCACCATATTCCCTGCTTCCTTCCTCTAGAACACCCAAGCAATGTCACTTGCTTTTCAGCTCATTTGTTCAGGTGCTCCTGCACTATTCCCCTTTCTCTGAAATTAGGTATCACTGACCTCAATTACCATGCTAGTAATTATCAAAACATTAGTATCCTCTTTATGCATTAAAGCCAGATATAATCATCTAGACTGCACCCTGTATGTCTGTTAAAGAAATAGCAATGGGGATTAAAATGGAACATCTAAACTGGCATAAATCCTATCCAATGGAGGATTCCATTGGACAATCTATTTTCACCAATAGCAAGCCCACACTTTCCTGCATCTGGATCCTTACTCCTACCATTATTCCCAATTTTCTTTCCCCTCATCTGGAACAATGACAACTGCTTATGGGGCCATATCAAAAATCAAATCTCCAGGATCAAAAATGTGTGACTGGAAGCAGAAAATGGTGGAAGCATCTTAAACTGACTCTGCTGCAAGAGGAAATACATTCTTGCAACAGCACGGGTGTTTCTAGAAGCACTGCTCTTGCTACTTCTTTCCCAGTGCTGGCCTAGCAGTCTGCCACAGCTCATTAAAAACGATCAGTCTGTAAGCTGTGTGAAGGGAAGATGCCCAACAGCAGCAGGATTTCTTCCTAGCGAGCAGATACGGTAACTTGTAGAATTGACAAGTGCATCCCCGACAAGAGCAGACAATCCTGATCAGATAAGAGACACTAAGGCAACATGCCAAATACTATGCATGTAGATGGTGGCATGAAAATCAAAGACTCCAGTTGTTCATCTGTCAAGTCCTATTAAAACTGAAACCAGGTCCAGCTGAGACAAGCCAATGCAGGCAATGTGCAAAGGTAGTCAATATAGCTTTTAGTATTCATGATTATCACTGTGTTTCATAGCACACAGAGCAAGAAAAATAAGCTAAAATCAGACATCTGTGTTTGAATGACAGCTGATAAAGGCAATGCACAGTGACCAGGAGTTTCAGTGGTAATCTCCAAATCCATCACAATTTCCTGACTAATTTGGGTGGTTTTCTAGTGCAAAAACCATGCTGAGGTGCAGGGGGTGAGGGGAAAAAGGGAAGAAAGGAACCAAAAAAACTAGAAAGACCACTTAATTTTTCTGTTTGTTTCCCTTCCATACTTTTTCCTTCCTAATATAGGGCTCCCTTTCTCCTATCTTTCTATTGTTTTGTTAATTAAATATGAAAAATTATTGACACTATGCTTTGCACTTTGTCTACATGGTCTTGGTGCTGCTGTAATATTTAAAACAAGCTACAAATACTGCCAAATGGGTTAGTCTATAACTTGAATTTTGTCTCTTTTTCCTACAAAATAGTAAGTAAATACCTAGTAACAAACATCTACTCTATTTAAAACTTACGCAAGAACTAAACCACATGGCTTTCCCCTACATGCCATTCTTTTAAGGCTAGGTCAAGGGGTTAAACTTAATCATCTACTTTCTTGCTTCTTTTAAAAAGTTACTAATTAATTAATAATAGTTACTAATGTCAAAGGGCTATTTTATTTGAGCAGGCTGCAATCCTCAGGAAGATAAAAACAGCTCTCTAGAAAAATGAAACTGTAATCTATCATCCAATGCTTAACAAAAAGGTTTACCACTATTTTCTAAGCAATAAAAGGTTTTCATGCTAGCATTTGTAAGTATATTTAGAGAGGAACAGTGCAAGTTGATTTAAGGCTTATGCTCCTATCCAACCCATTTCTGCTCTACCGCTTAACCCAACTATCCAGGTAGGATTTAGAAAAAAAAAGCATAATTTTAAAGGCACTTGTTTGGCCTAAGGAACTTTTGAAAAACCTGACCGAAAGCTCCTAACCACAAAGTCCTCATGCCCATGCATTGGGCATGAGGTTTTTTTCACGCTTATTCTAATTAACATATATCACACACTTTTTCCAATGGGAGTAAGTAGTAAGTAATGCAATGCTTTGAAGAAGTCACTTACGTTCTCAGCCCGGCATTCTCCAACACCAGCTCTTCTAGGCGACTGGACCTACTCACCACTCGCAGAATCTGCTCACAGACATCAGCCGACTGCCAAAGAAAAGGCAGAACATCAAAGAACACAAACATGGAACTTCGTAGCAGGATCCAGGCCACAACCAGTTTCTAGTGATATATAAATAATAAATAAGGATTCCAAGAATATCCCTGAGGGAGTCAAATGGCAGCGGGGGACATAGAATCATTACAGTTGGAAAAGACCTTCAAGACCATCAAGTCCAACATCTGGAAAGGCTCAGAAAGAAGTGGGAGGCAGACCAGAACTGAGTCATTTAAGAGATTAGCCATCTAAGCACAAGGGACAGAATTTTTATAATCATAGCAAAAAAGAAACACACACACACACACACTCTGTCATTCAGAAAAATGACTCAATAAAAAAAAAAAAAATCTGTTCCTAATCCATGTTATACCATTAGAAGAGTGGAGACTAAAGCCTAGACAGGAATGACAACTAAATATAAACAGGAACATGATAACGCAGAAGAAAAACAATCTTCCCAGGAGCAACAACAGCCTAGCTATTGGTCCTCCAAAGATTAAGTAAGGACGAGGGAATCAGTATGGAGT